GTTTTTTTACAGTAACTTTACAGAGAGGTTTGTGTTTGGTAGATGAGCATTAGAAGGGTGCAGGGCTCCTCCTGATCATACTGCAGGAATAGGGTGCTGGGCTTTGCACTCCCCAGTTGGTGTCTTGCATTCCTCAGCACTTCAGACATGGCTTTGCTTCACTCATGATGAGTGCATCAATACTGCAGGCAAATACTGGATTATTGTTGTGCTGCTCAGTGGACTTGTGTTTATGGYGAGTATATGTCTTGGACACCCAGGATTTTCCATGGAGAACTATGGAATTCATTGGACACTGTTCTTCTGTCAGCCATAATTGAGCACCAGCCATACCTTGGGGCTTGGAACCCTAGGCAAATATTAGAAGGCTGATTCCCACTTCCCAGTATAGTGTGGCACACTGGCCAGCCTGCTATGTAACTTTTCACTGGTGCATCTCCTGGCCTGCCATGATGATTGCTGAGGTATGTGGGTAGCCATTGATCTGATASCATCAATGAAAGCCTCTCTTCCTGTGGTCTGGCTCTTGAGGCTGAGAGCAGAGAAGTCTGGGGTTGGTCCAGTTGGCCAGACTGATCAGGCAGTAGCCCTGCAGCATTGACTGCAGACACAAAAGACCCTTGTGCTCTGCACTGATTCCCTCTCCAGGGATGTGGATGATGTTAAATGTCCTCTTCCTTGGAGCAACTGCATCATACCAGAGATRATCCAACAGAAGAAATATGTCTCGTGCTGTATTTTGCTTGGGGGTGTTTGACTTTGCTGCAACATGAAGGTTCTGGGACCTGGGTTTCCAGCCAGTGTGTTAATATGTATTMATCTAAAAGTTGAGTTTTTTTAAAACATTTCTTCTTCAGTACCTGTTAATGCTGGAACCCAAACCTTTAGGCTCCTGTGGGCTTGCTCAGTTTCTTGCAGCACAGATCCTGATTGTGGTGTCAGGATGTCTGACTGTGCACAGTGCAGATGCTTCTGCTCAATAACTCTAAATTTTCCAAGAGGTCTGGTTATCTTTAACCTGCTGTCCCTGTAGTTGTGCACAGGCTGTTTGTMCTTCTTGACCAAATGCTGCAGCTAAAAATTAGTCTCTCCATGAGTGTTCTAGTTTCTGTCTTCTCCTTACTCTGCTGAATTATTGGTACTTTCAAACCTACTGTCCTAAAGATCTGAAAAGGTTGAGTTAAACTCCTTTTTGTGGAACTGTTCAAAAATAAAAAGCTGCCGAGCTCATGTGTAATGGCAGCACATGGTAATATTAAAAAATAATATTCCTGCTTTTTGGAATAATTGYGTGAGCTGTAGGGTGCTCCCACCTGTCATACTGTGTGTTACTGTCCTCAAGAGTACAAGGGAAAAGGGTTCAGGAATACCACCCCAAATCTGTGTTGGAGGAGTTTAAGCTGAATATTAGGAAGAGGTTCTTGTGAGGATAGTGGGGCACTGCCCAGGCTCCCCAGGGAATGGTCCYGGCCCCGAGGCTGCCAGAGCTGCAGGAGCGTTTGGACAGCGCTGCCAGGGRTGMACAGGGTGGGATTGTTGGGGTGTCTGTACAGGCCAGAAGTTGGAAGGGACCCACAAGGATCATCAGTCCAACTCAGAATATTCTAGGATTCTATTCTAGGATTCTGTGAACCTTTTTCCCCATGTGTTTATGGTCTCAGAGTGCTGTGGGGTCTATTTATTGCTTCTGACACCATATACCCGCTCTGAGTCCCTGGTGACAGGTTGTTGTGCACATCTTGCCCTGTGAGGGTTCCTTGTGACAGTGATTGATTTTGTRCAGGAGGCATCCAACTTTCAGAGTATTCCTGGTCCTTCCCTCACATCTTTTGTACTGCCTGAGCACGGAATGTTTTCCCTCTGSTACTCATAACTTTCTCTACTCTAGGAAGTGTAGGATACAATCCTTCACACTGTTCCAAAGGCTCTGTCTGTTCCTGTCAGCTCCCCAGACATGGCCCCCTCTGTGCACAGGCTGGAGGGAGATATGGGATTCCTCTGCACTCTCCTGCATTTGCTTGTGTCATTGTGAGTTCTGAGGGAGCTCACTGAGGTCCAACTCTGTGACCAGCAGCTGTTACAGGCAAAGGGGTCTCTCCACTGCTGCTGGAA